GACAAAGGAGGCAGCCATGAAGACTGAGGGGGAGCAGCCGGCAAATGCCAACTCCAACGATGCTGATAAGATTCCCGAAGACAAAGGCTCAGGCAAGAAGAGCCAGCAACCAGCAAAGAACCAGACCTGGGAAGACAAAGACAAGGATGTATTAGAGAGGCTGAAGGCCATTGATGCACAGGATGCTGCTGCCAGGGCTGCAGCCGAAGCGATCCTGAATCAGGACCAAAAGCGGGATGACAAAGACAAAGACACAGAAGAGGGAGAACCGAAGAAAAAAAAGCTGACTCCAGAACAGAAGGCAGCCCATGCTAGGTACATGAGATTCTTCAGGAGTTTGAGCAGCATGAACAGTCCAAAAGAGGTGAGGAGAATGGGAAGGTCTGCCATTGGCCGTCACTTGGATGTTAATTATATTGGAATCATGCGTTGCATAAATCCCCTTCCAAACTCTCACGCGCACGCATGCCTGGTTTCACTGGAGTGGCAATGCATTTCTGGGGTTCCGATCCTACCATATTTAATCGTTGTCGACATGGATACGAGGTGGGAAGCTCATGACTGTGCTGTATGAGAGTTGGAATGAAGCCAATGGAAAGTGGAAGGACAGTAAGATATACCTCCAGGCCAAGACCAAAGCCTCAAACCGAAAGACTGGCAGAAGGATGTGGCTCACCCGAGCTGAAATGGTAATCAAGTTCGGAGAGCAGGGTGCAGCAGCCATCATTGAACGCAAGCTCGCTGATCCGGAGCTCCTGCGCTCGCAGGTGCGCCGACATCCGGAGGCGCCTGACGAGCCAAGCCTCACACAGTACTTGTGCCTGGACATGGACTCAGAATCGTATGAAGAGGAAGAGGTTGTCACGAAGCTGTTCAAAGCAGTCGATGCAGGGGGTGATGATGATAGTGGCCAAGACGATGAGTCCTCTAACAGCAGTTCTTCTTCTTCGACAAGATCTGCGTCCAGCTCTTCGAGCAAGAAGAAAAAGGAGAAGAGAAAAAACAAGACAAAGGAGGACCGAACTCTGATCTTTCATATATAATTTTTATATCTCGGATCGATGTTCGTTGGCACGACTTGACCCCGATTGACGCACGCGTGCGCATGCTTGTTTTTGCTCGGAGGAGGCGAAGACGGCTAAAGATGCTAAAGGCAAGCCTAAAGCTAAGGGTAAGCCAAAACCCAAGGCCAAGAAGGAAAAGAAAAGGAAGGACAACAAAAGGTCGAAGTCGCCGTCGGGATCTGAGGATGAAAGCGAGCGCTTGAAAGCCCAAGAAGCCACCAAAGAAGCAAAGAAGGCCAGTGTTTCGAACCCCAACACCTCCTCCCAAACATCCCTGCCTTCGCAGCCAAAATGTGGGCCATCCAGCCATGAATCAAGCCTGTCAAGGATGCAGTTTGTCGCTGCAGTTTATCACAGAATCGGATTCGGCTCATCGAAACACAGTTTCTTCATATAGGGCCTCTCATCCCACGGCCGCCTGTCCCTTGTGAAAAACGTGTCAGAACATGGTGCATGCATATGGTTGAAGCTTGTCCCTCCCATTTGGTTTGGCTTCGTGAAGCCAGTGGATCGATCGCCTCCTACTTCACCTGGCCAGTACCTATACTGGGTTTGGGCTTTAGCTGGAATAGATTAGATCGGATTAGGTTCCAACTTATATATGCGTTGCAACTGCAGGTCATTAACACAGCCGGCAAGAAGCTCAAGGATCTGAAGACCGTGCAGGAAACGATCTCAAAAATGCAACTCAGCAAAGTTGGGGTGGGTGCGACTGCACTCTGGGACCTGGGGTGAACACTGTACATAAATCGACCGATCGATCGATCCCCCGACTTTGGGCTGGGTTGCTTTTGATGCATGCGGGACCGCTTCAGAGACAAAGGTCGATACAACTTCACCACCCATTATCCTCTCTCCCGACCAGCCTTGACACACAGCGGTGCTATATAATTTGGACCATCGTAGGCAACTTCCATGAGAGTTTGTTAGGGTGGAGGTCACATGATCCAAGACCGTGCAAACCTGTGAACCAAACAAATGCCGGAAACCCATCGCATCCATCACCTGACGCTCGGAACCGCCCAGGAGTGAGAACCTTCGCAAAGCAGTCCAGGCTGACATTGAGGCCTGGTGCATGCAGCTGCTACGAGGCAGAATCTGTCTCGGACATTCCCCGATCAGGAGACATCGAAGAAGCTTCAACAGAGCCGAGATGCCCTTCAGAGGGGCCTGGACGATGACAAGGTGTTTTTTGGGGTCGAAGCTGGAAAACACTCCATTAGTTCTGCCGACTAAATCGATTACTGCAGTCATTCACACTTCGAGCTCTGTTTTGTATCACTGTCGGAGTTGGCTGGGTCAATCAACTGGGAACCACTCATTGTCATTCCGACGTTAAACCATAAAGTTCAGCATTCATGTCCATCTTCGATGCATCGAGGTCGAAGTCGACCAGTGGGAAAACCTCCCTCGGGCTGAACTTATCCCAGTCTGTCGACGCAGGCCTCTGCAGAACTGCTGAAGTTGGTGGGGTTCGTCCAGACCTGCATCCAGTCGTTTGACAACGCGATCGCCCCGTGTAAGGGGAAAGGCCGAGCTTCCAAGAAGTGATGCTTGAGCTGAGGTAGGGTATGTTTAGAAGCAGGGATGCGATGTCGGATTAGGTCATGCAAGGGCAACTTGCCTGGGGGTCACTTGGTAGCCATAGGGACTTGCCACACACCACAACCACAGTCTAAAGTAATTGGAATTCTTGTAACTTTGTGCATTCGCAGTGGGATCGAAAAGCTTCACTTCCATGTGCATCTGCATGTGTGCAATGTCCGGGCACGAGTGCATGGGCTGGCAAAATTGCCAGGCATCCGCCTAGTCCAAGACTCAACCTTGCAAGTCGATCCGTCGAGAAAACCAGTTTGACGGACGCGCGGATAAAAATCCCACTGGCCTCCAGTGTCGGATGCATGTGTGGCTCGCGGGTCGGGTCGGATGTGGGTGGCGTGCTTTGAGAAGGTTTGCCCAACTTTGTTGCAACTTGGGGGAATCAAAAACTTTGGCCCCGTCAAGAACCATGTAATTAAATCATGTTGTGGTTCAACTCTTCCGGTCAACGACCCACTGGAATAGAGTACTGCACTGCTGTCCAGTTTTTGTGTCCCCACCCAAAACCAAAGCTCGAGCCATTTCGAGCCCGTCTCGGGGCACCGGCCCGGCGATCGCAGGGAGCAACGGCCCCCCAAAGAAAACAACAATTAATGCATGCATTGGCAGGGTTGTAATTTTACTCATACCTGAACATGAAATGATGATTGTGGGGGAAGGGCTACGTGCTTAAGTAAGTTTGATCCTCAATCAATTGATCTACCGGACCTATCATATGCCTTTCCTCTTCGACAAAAAAGGAAGCGGGCCCAAATTCAAAACTGACAAGTTTATGGGGGTTGTGGCCCAAGTTTTGGCAGCATCACTTCCTTGAATACGATTAATCGTAAGGGTTTCGGGGCCTCCTTTCAGCCGGATGCATCACGCGCAGGTGCTAGCTCCAGCGATGAGGGGCCAAGCACGATCATCACAGATGCCAAATTCAAAATTGCTGACCAGGCGCTGCTCACGGAATTAAATTGTGGCTGCTGTTGTCATTTTTGTGGTACATGTTTTCAAGACTGCAGCCCCCGACCTACGGAGCTTCTTTGAGGTTAGTTTGCCAGGGTAAACCCTGTCAGGCAGCAAGTGTTGCTTCAGTAATGGCTTCCATTGCTGCTGGCGCACAGGATACAGTTTTTGTGTTGGAAAATGCTTGATGCTGAAGGGCATTGATTGGGTGCCACCTTCTTGTTTCCCAAACAAAGCAAAACAAACTGGTCGGCCCAAGTCGGCCCTGGCAGGATGGGAGCGCATCGATGGGTGTGCAAGGCCTTGGCCGCCCTGCTGCAGCTCAAAATGCATGCCGAGAGTTCTGGAAGTTCTGCAAGCTCCCTTTGGTTCTTTGGCTTTAGAACGCGTCTCAAGTGTAGTTTTTTTGACATCCAAATTGGAGGAAATTTTATCCGGATATATCAGGATTGTGTTAGCGGTTTTGAAATGGAAGCGAAGGAGCCTTACTACGTGACCGTGCCGGCAATTGACCCTGACGACGACCGGCAAGTTATAGCCCTGCGACTGCCAATGCTCGATGTACACGATGTTTTGGCTTACGTGCATAATGAGGCAAAGCTCAGAACACCTCCTGCCCACATAGACTTTTTTTGGCGTTGGTGCAAGCACGCAAACTGTGGCTTCGCTCGACTGGGGGGCCCGGGATGCGTGCCAGTCGGCCTTTACTGCGACGAAACCAAGTTTGGAGGCAACTTTTCAGATGAAAAGGTACTTGGGGTCTTTATCAACCTCATTCTATGGAGGCCACGCTCCATCAGATACTCACGATTCTGCGTTTTTTCGTGTAGATCTGCACTCATCCTCGGCACCAAAACGCTGTATCCTGTCATGGAGCGGCTGACGTTTGGTTTCCAGTTGGCCTTCCGCGGAATTCGCCCTGATGGTTCACCTCTTTGCCCCGATGGCACACGCTTTCTATGTGTTGAGTTGAGAGGGGACATGGGCTGGCATGCCATGATCTGGCAGTTTAAGAACCGTTGGCAGGCTACGAAGGTTGGTGTGTGTCCTTTCTGCAGTGCTCAGAGCCAGGGCGACAGTTTGCTGTATACGGAGGTGGGAAGTAATGCATCCTGGCGGCCCACAATCTTCACGGACTTGGCTGCATGGGCGGAAGCGGTCCTTCCACAGGATGACCTTTGTGGCTTGCACGTGCTTCAAATGAATATTTTTTGAGCTCGTTGTTGTTGAGTGGGAAGCCTCATATTAGAATGCGTAGTTTTTGCTAGCCGACTGTGAGGCCCACTGCTAGGGCTTCCTGGCTTTGCAATCGACACTCTGAAAATGTGCTCAATGCACAACGTGAACCTGGGCATTGCGCAGATCTGCAATGGATCGTCTTTGTCGCCTGCATGCCCAAGGATTTTCAAGAACTGCTTTCTGTTTGTTCATTTGGTTTCAGGGGAGCTTTTCACTGCCAGGGGCACATTGTTTCTTCAGGGTTCTTCTCATCTAAGGGTCACCTTGGTTCTTGGTGGCTTTTATGGCAACCCCAATGATAGTATTGCTGTGAATTTCCGGCGTGCATACCGGCACTTTCAAGCTTGGCGAAAGAGCAAGCGGGTGAACATCACCCAGGGCGTCTGGAAGTATGGTTACGCAACTTGGCTTGAAAATCCGAGAGGGCACGCAGCATTATATTTTTTTGGCCCTGTCCAACTTAGTTTTCGACTGTTTGGGAAAAGTCGGGCGCTCGAATTCCTGAGCGATGTATCAAGTGATCGAGGTGATCAAGGCGAATGGGCTTGTCTGCATGACCCACAAAGCCTTTAATGGACGAGTTCTGGCTCACTACTTCGCAGATGTGCTTGCGGAGGCCTTGACCAGTGCAGAGTTCCCCTCAGATTCAACTCTGCGCTTTGCTGCTGCTTGCATGGCTCACCTTGCAAAATTTTTCTACCTCCTCGAGGTCTCTGGTCGGTACTTGACGGAGGCTAGGGCTGAAGAGATCTATCAAACGGGGCTGGCCTTCATGAGGTGCCACTTGCAGCTCACCAGCATGGCGATGCAGTCGCTGCGCCACTTGCCTTCTGGGCAAGCACTTTTCTTGTGGACTCTTCGTCCAAAGCTTCACTATCTGGAGCACCAACTGATTGATTTAAGGCGGACTCGACTAAATCTTCGTCATCACCATTGTTATACCGATGAAGATGGAATGCGCTGGTTGAAGCAAATCTCGAGGAAGGTTAAGCGGAAAGGGTTTGAGCACGCAGTCTTACGTATCAGCCGGCTCAGGCTGTCTCTAGCGCCTTTGAAGGCAAGATCGCTCAACGAATCTGCGCGAAAGCGCAACAAGTGAGAAAACAAGTGATGCTGCCAATCTGGGAGTCATGTTGGGATTTGCTTTTATGTTGAAACATGTTGAAACCAAAAAGGTCTTTCTTTCTACGAAAGGTCTTACTTTTCCACGTCTTAGACCAAAGGTCTCGAAATGTCAGTCCCTCGGACTGACCAGGTATTGTCTCAACTGGGCAAGCTCACTGTGGGAGGAAAAACCGTGTTTTGAGATTAGCCCCTCTAAAGAATGAACGTTGCAACGTCGGCGTTATTCTAGCCGTCTTGCATGGCACTCCATCCTTGCTACTTCATCCTGATGGTTCGGCCAGGTGGAGTACTGCTACCAAGCCCATGAGGAACAAAACGCAGGTCTTCGCGCAGGGGTGGGCCAACCTGAAACACGCCCACTCGCAGGGTGGGTTTGGGCGAAGGCGAGGCCGAGGCTCACAAAATCGACTCAAGTGATGAAGTAATGGCAGTAATGGCATGCGATCACATGTAATCACATGCACTCGCATGTACATGCACGTAGTTGCAAGATGCGGTGTGCCATTGGCAAGCTCCAGCCCGTGCTCCTCCAAAGTGCTTGGCAAATGTTGGCTCCATTCCCAATTGCTGGTGACGGTGGCTGTGCAACCTCAGCCGGGTTTCACAGACGCAGCGGGGAGGATTTTCGGCCTTGTGTAGTATCTCTGCCTGCTAGGAACTGATACGTGCAATAGCATGGATTACATTTGCGGGGGGTGTTTCTAGGCATTGCACCAGGTAAGTCCTTTTCTCCAAATCAAAGCGCGTGGCATGTTGACCAGGGCTCTGAGTGTTGACCAGTCCTATTGTTTTTTTCATACTGGCTACCTCCCAGACTCACCTTCAGCCAGTCCCACCATCAGCACCTGGATCCCCTAGCCCCCCCGTTCTGGGCCCCAAGAAGTGGTGCATCCGCTCTCTTTTGGTGGAGTCGTGTCGAGCAAAAGGTCAGTTATGCTAACTATCTGAATACATACCTGAGCACCTTCTGAAGTTGATTGAGTGGATGGCGCGTGAACATGTGCCCCATCTTCTTGGAAGCCTCGGACGTGGCCACACGTCCTACCAACTGCCGCAAAGTAAGGTGGTCCAACTGCACCAGTCGTCCGAGGGTCGGCTTCTGCTCCCGCGAGCTTTCCACGAGCTGCCCACAGTGGTCGACTCCATCGGCCACAGCTTTTCGGATCCTTCCGGGCTGGGAAGCCTCCAAGAAGCTTCTCATATTACAATTGTCTTTATTGCATTGTATACCTGAGAAGGGCATAGGTTTGGGACGGGTCCTCTTTTGTGTCTCGATGTCGGGGCGTTGTGGAGGGGAGAAAAGGCACCCTTGTAGTATGGGGAAGGTTTGGTATGGTGTGTTGGTCTATGTTTGAAGTGAGTTGACGGCTGGCTTTCGTGATTAGATATCCCCTGGTTCTCAGTTGATCTTGGAACGTAGTTTGGAGTAAGTGCTATGGTTTCCAGCAACAGCTGGCCACTTCAAATGGCGCCAAACTGCCAACCTCTGTGGTATGGATGCAAGGTGCAATCTGATATGCACAAAATAGTTCAATAACTGCACAAGATTACACATGTGATTGGTAGAGCAAGGAAATGGCACAAACTCAAGACGATGGTCTATGTCCACGTCTCACAGTGCTGCTCGCACGTGGAGTGTCCATTTTCCGGACGTTTTGTCGACCCACGGGAGAAGTGCTTCACATGTCATATGGGGTGCCCTTTTGAATCCAATAACTAGACCTTGCCACGGAGAAAAAAGGGCACCCCTAAGCAATTCAAAGCCTTCCGCCTCCAACGCTTGCCCGCTCTTCTCTCTCCTGCCCCCCCAACTCCAAATCGTCTCGCTGACCTTCCACCTCCAACGCTTGCCAGCTGCAATCTCTCCTCTCCCCTGCCCTCAACAACTCACGTGAACTCCCACTTCAGTCCGGTTCTCCCGCAGGCCCTCAACAGATGGCATCATGCATCCCATGTGCGGTGCCCTTTTCAGTCCAGCAACCACACCTTGCTACGGATAAAAAAGGGCACCCCTAAGCTATTCAGGACCTTCCGCCTCCAACGCTTGCCCGCTGCAATCTCTTCTCTCTCCTGCCCTAACCCCCCAATCCACGTGAACTCCCACCACGTAGGGAATGCCCTCTTCAGTTCGGTTATCTCGCAGGCCCTCAACAGATGGCATCATGCATTCTCTTCTCTGCTTTGCCCTCAACAACCCCCCAATCCACGTGAACTCCCACCGCATAGGGAGTGCCCTCTTCAGTCCGGCAGCAACGCTAAGCTTAGCTGCAGCTAACCTATTCTCCCAAGCCCCTCGTGATGCCGATGATGCACTCTTCGCCGTCAATTACACCACCGGCATCACAACACCCCTCAAACCACTCATTTTTCACTACCAAGTGGCCGACCTCTTTTTTTCGCTCTCCCCCACCAGGCTCTGGGTTCACCTCTCCGAAATTGGCTCTCGCGACCCCCCCCACACCCCCTTTACTCACTTCGTTCGCTCCAACAACCTCAAGCCCTGCCTACCGGCTGGCTTTCGTGATCATATTAATCATTGCTGTACATTCATATCTTCAACTGCCTATTCAACTCCTAACTGAAAACCCTCACTCTCTGCAATTACTTTGCAACCACTTCAAGGAATGGACATGAATGGACCCTTGAAATGGCACCACTGGTCCGATCAACTTATGGAAGCTCCAAAGGGCTCCATGCGGGGCTACCGATCCGACGCGAAGGGCCACGGCACCTTGGCTCTTCCGCGGGCTCTCCCTCCAGCTGGAGAAGAAGTCATCTAAGCGCTGCTGCCTCCGAAAAAGGTGAGAACAAAAGCCGGGCTGGATGCACCAAGAAAATGGGAAAGCGGACAACAAAAAAGACACATGCACTAGTGAACTATCGTCGCAAGAATATGTCTGTGTTACCGGGCACGTCAACACTGCCAGAACTGGGTGTTGGAAAGTGGTGCAGCGCCCTGTTCAGCACTCTGATAGCCTATGGACACGGTAAAACTCTTGACGGAAGTCGGAAGATTGAGAAATAGAGCTCTTTCATGCTTAGGGCAGGCGAGCGAACAACGAATGCCCTGGAATGACCTCAGATAATACAAATGTGGCATCTGCTGGCCAAAGAATGCACCCACTGCCCCAAGTCAATATGTATGAACCTATGCCATTGCGTTCTCAATGCCCTACCTGAACCTAGGCCATTGCTTCGTCCAGTCCTGCCCTTTAGCCTATAGAAAATGGCCTCTCAGTTTTGCAGTTAGGGTTCTTGATCAAATCTCAGAATTACCATGAATTACCGCATAGTTTTGGCCGACAACATCGAACAAACACAATCTGGCCAGGTGAAATGCCAGCAACTTCCTGCCATCTGCCCAGCCTCTCTGCCAGGGCCTCAGTTGGTGGGAACACCTCTGGAGACTGAGATAGCGCCTGTTGCAACGCCGCTCGGAGGTAGCACACCTGGTGGTGCGCGCTTCAGCCGCTGTTGGGAGTGGTGAGTTGGGGCCAGGTCCATCTTCCCAGAAAAGGCCGCAAAGTTCGGAGTTGGGGTATAGAATGATATAGATGAAAAGGCTGTGCTTTCAACTATCTGAGTCCAGTCTATCTAGCTTTCCGGACTACCGAGGTGTGAGGATGATCGAGTTACAGCAGTTGAACCTTCCGGCAGGTTTGTTCACCACTGCCACATCAGGCGTTCTCGAAATTGTTTGGTGAATCATCTGGGGCTGTCTGGGGCACAAACAGAACATGCCCAAACAGTAGTTGTCTGCGAAGGGTTCAAGAACGGGTTTGTTTACATGTGTGGCCTCCGCAGTCGCGCAGGGATCGCAGTTAGGAGGGGGGCTCCTCTTGTCAATTGGAGTGCATGTATGGCATAGTGGCATAGTGTAACATAAGTCTAGCCTCAGTGGAGCAAGTACTGTAAATCTCTACCACAAAATGTGTTGGACATTGCTGTCATGTCTATATTATTCTATATTACATATATATATATATACATAGCATATATTGCTACTATATTACTATCTATACAATAGTATAGTCTTTGTCCGGCGTAATTGATCGACCAAGTCCCTCAACCACTGAATCATATACCATAGTCCCTGACGCCTCTATCCATACACGGTTCTCTGCACAGATCCTTTTCACGGTTCGCAGAATGGAGCCTCCTGGAAAACTACTAGTAGGGGCTCCTGGCCTTACTACTAGGAGCAAGGACGCTACTAGGGGCTCCTGGCATCGCTACTAGGAGCATTCTTACTACTAGGAACAAGACGCTACTAGTAGTTTTTAGCTGCTCCCAAACCCCACTGCCTCGTAGCTGTGGCGCCTCAGCATCTCCACCACGTTGCGCAGTCGTCGACTCGACGGTCGACTTGCCGCGCCCTGGCGACACATGGGGGGGTCTTCCTTTGGACCAACGGTGGTCAAACGCAAAAAACGCAAACAGTAGATCAGTGATCACATGGATGTGCCTCTGGCTTCACTCACCTTTGTCATTTCTCAACATGGCACTCCTCCAAAGAAAACACGCGCATTCTTTATTGAACGTTCCAACGTGCACATTAGAACATGTATCCAAACGTGCGTATTTACTAGACACACACCTCGAGCAAAACGTTCTGTACCAAAGGAAGGTCCAGGAAGGAAGTGGCACACAGCCTGTAAGCTACTTTTCACAAACAAACAAAGGGGCAATAGGGACAATGAAACTCCGGGAGACCAGAGTGCACAAGACCAGTAGACATCTTAGTGTCCAGAAAGGCAAAATGGTACTGGTGAGTCTCCGCCTACGAGTAGCTCTCCTCATCATCTTTCGCTCGCTTGGATTCCCTGAACCCTCTCCAAGCATATCCTATCCGAACCCGCCCACCCCCCCAAAAAAGAAATGAAAGACCACATGACCGCACCATCTGTAGAGCATAGAGTGATCAAGTTTAATCCAGATTCCTCAGGTAGAAAGAGCTTCACATGTTCACCATTGTTCACCATCGTTCATCTCTCTCTGGATTTTCGCACCGTTTCACTCCCCACAGCAACATGCTCCACATGGATTTCCCGGGCCGCTGTCTTTGCGGAGCCCCAGGGTAACCTTGGGGTCCTAACAAGTAGCTGTGCCTCTGCTTGATTTGACTCCACACCCCAGGCCACCCCCCCCAACCGTCCTCGCCTGGTGTGGCCTTGGCAAGGCTCCACGCAGTCCTTCCTCCGCAGCCATGCGCTTCACCGGCTCCTGGGGGTCGAGCCCGGTGGAACTGCCTGAGCCTCTTGGTGGGCGAAGTGAATTTCCGGGCTTGGTAAAGGTCACCAAGGTCACTGGATGGGGACTCCCAAAAAAGGTGCCTTTGAAGAAGCTGGCGCATGGAATCCATTTAGGACTTGGCCTGGTGTGTGA